AAAAGGTACTTTTCGGTTATCATACCTCCAATGGTCGGCCGGCCGACTGCTGCGGTGGTCGGGATACCTATACAGATTCTGTTCTCGTACCCTATTATATTTATCTCAATATTGTCAAGTTTTATTGCCATACGAATTAATAAATAATTGCCAAAAATATAATTTATTTTAATAAAATAATATAATATGAAATCATATGAGTACAAAGAAATTATAATAAAAAATGAATACCAATAAAGTATAATAAAACATCAATACAAAAAAAAWTTATAATAAAGTATTATTACCAATACAATATGAATACCAAAAAAATTATTGGAAATAAAAAATATTTTTATGATGGAAGCATTGAGATAAATATAATGGGGTATGAGAACGGAATCGGTATAGGTATCCCGACCGCCGCCGCAGTCGGCCGGCTGACCATAAGGGTACGATAACCGAAAAGTACCAAAAAAAAAAATTTTAATACGCCCCTGCTTGCTATATTATAATAATGAAATTATTATTTAGAAGACAAAATTATTTAGAAGATGTCTTACCTACATAACATTTTACTATTTATAATATACCACTGCAAATGATTAAATGCTAATAATTTGTTTCAAATTCCTTAAATATTATAAAAAGCCTAAGTGAAGTCTTGGAAGTATTCTAATATTTAAATATCTTATAATAAATTAAGTCACTCTAAGATTAAAATCAACACTGTAAAATGGGATGGTATGATGGAGACATGGTGCGAGTAAGTCGCCTTCCTAAAGAGTTATTTTATAATAATAATTTTGATTTCTGATTTTAATAGTCTTCACTACTTAGTTATAGAAATGTATTAACAAAGGTGTTATTTAATTTTTAACATGACATGTTTTTTAACTAAAGAGTTTTTAATTTTCGTTCAGCTTTACGGCGATTTCTATTTTTCCAAAGAATTTCATCGCAGTTATAAACATTTTCTTCAACGAAATGTTACGCCAGTTTACTGTTACGAGTTTAAATTTGATGGAGAAATCAATGTCTTCAAAAAATTACTTTATGTTCTGAGGCCAACTTTTGAACCATTAAAAGGTAAAAACTTATATTTATTTTCATTCTACTGAACACTGCATAATATTATAATTTATTCTACGTGATATTGAATTGATGTGATAAAACTTTTCATAGGTGCATGTCACGCTGACGAATTAAGTTATTTATTTTATGGAAGACTGTTTGGATTTGTACCCAAGCCAAATTCACCAGAGTTAAGAATGTGTAGAATATTAAGTAAATTATGGACCAATTTTGCGAAAACTAGGTATGTTTGGAATGGTGGTTTCTAAACAATTATGATCAGAATATTGATTATTATATTTTACTGGTTTTTAATTTTTTATTGAGTCCAGAGTAAAATTGTTAAATTTCTCTTTCAATTTCAGTAATCCTAATTCGCACGATTTAAGATTTGTATGGAACTTTACTAGGGTTGAAGAACCAAAATATTTGTCATTAGATGGAGACAATACACATATGATTGTTGGACTATTGAACAGTTCCAGGACGCATTTTTGGGACAATATATTAGATACTATTGAATCCCAACAAAAATAAAATTATAATTCATTTTTATGATAATTTGTTATTTAAATGTCTGTAATATTAACCAAATAAATTTTAAATTAACTCATTTGACCTTAATATTCATTCATAAAATTGCCAAATTGTTTGAACTAGATATTAT